AAGATAAGTATCCACTACCAGTAATTGTCGACCTATTGTCACTTGGTTATGACTGATATATCTTTTTCGGCCGCCATCTTGGATCCGCCATTTTGAAATGTGATAAATTATTTTAAATATAAAGGGGGTGTTGTGACCCATCATTTCTAACTACTTTTTTAAGCTGAACTTAATTCCATCATCCGTTTTTCATTTTCATTTTTTGATTTTTAAATTTTGACATTTTTTACAAAAAAATTGCAATATTTCATAAATAAAACTTGATAACAAAAAACGGATTGCGGCATTGAGTTTAGCTTAAAAAAGTAGTTCGATATGATGGGTCACAACACCCCCTTCATATTTAAAATAATTTATCACATTTCAAAATGGCGGATCCAAGATGGCGGCCGAAAAAAATACATCAGTCATAACCAAGTGAAAATAGGTTGACAATTACTGGTAGTGTATACTTATCTTTATCTGGCACTATTTTGAGATTATGGTCTTAGTTTGTAAATGCACAATGTTAAAATGGGCTAAAAATAAAGTTTTAAAAACCCTCATAACTTTAGAATGAATCAAGATTTTTTTAAACAGTTTGCGGCATTGTAATCAATGTAAAAATCTAGTTTGAAATAATGGGTCACAACCCCACCTTTATATTTGAAAAAAAAAATTTTGTATCCAATATGGCGGATCCAAGATGGCGGCCGGAAATGACCACCTTGTCAAAATGAAGTACTTACTACCCAACAATGTTTGGAAGTGGTCTGGGATTGATATTTGAAAAAATGTAGAAAAAAGTTGGGGGGGGGGACAATTAAAACTCACCCTGTATACACAAAACTAATGTTTTATATATATTTCAATACCTAGTAAAAAAAATTATTAGGGGCTTAGTGTTTTTTTAAGTGTGCGTGTGGCCAAACTATGGAAACAGGGTTTTAAGGATGTGTATAAATTGGTTTTCCCCATTTTCGGCCCCCAAAACATCAAAGGTTGCAGCCTTTTCAAACAGTTTTTTTTTTACGTGGCAAGTCCCCCCAATACTAAATTTAATATGATCATTTCATTGTTTTTACAGGTGGTGTAACTCACTACTTTGATTTTTTTCTTTCGTGTTCTTCATATGCCTCAGTATCACATAAGTTTACATAGTTTAAACAACCACCTTCTGAATAAGCAATCAACATCCTCAAATATGAAATGTCACAAAATAACTTCATGAAAAGTTGCATAGTCATCAATAATTAATTGACAGAAGCAGGTATTCAGTCAAACCAATTATTGTTGTTACCCTTTTAAAAATAACAACAGCAGTGAATTTTTAATGCTTAACACAGAGAAGTAAGGTACAGGGGACACATGCTTATGGGAATGGGACGACGTGCGTTTCTGCTCTGGTATGTTGGGGCGGAAATATACTTGTGACGAGCAAGGAAGAGCCTGAATTACTAGCACTGTGTGTAAATTCCTATTGCACAGGGCACAGGGTCTTCCTCCACAGTGAGTGTTGTAGTAGCCTACTGTACGTCAGGACAAGGGGGTCATTGCCCTAGGCACCAGCACTAGTGGTAGACACCACTCAAGTGAACCATTGAATGTTTCCTCTGTATCCTTTTTCTTTGTACTAAACCAGATTGCGCATGGCTCCCTACCTATGAATACGTATACAGTTTAAAAAATAATCCCAGGATAGACTGTAGAACGAAGGTTCCTGAGGGTAGGATGTTCCTGTCTCAGTAAGTCTGGTATGTAACTCATGAGTGTTATATTTGTTTTTCTAACAGCAGAGAGTGTAGGCGGTGGTGGGGGTGCAGAGTCTATCCGAGGTAATGACTGTCGGTGGCTAGGGGCTGTCTGGCGCTGCTCACTGCTGCACGCTGGTATGTGTAACTCATGAGTGTTATATTTGTTTGTCTAACAGCAGAGAGTGTAGGCAGTGGTGGAGGTGCAGAGTCTATTAGTCTGGTTGCAGGTCAAAAAACCTGGAAGTAAGGTCCACCCGATGTTTTTTACTGGTTTCTGTTTCTTCAAGACCTACATAATTAAAATAGGCAGGGTGCCACTTTGTCACCCTTGAGCAAATTGAGATATTCAAGATGGCGGCCAAGATGACTTAAAAACTATATAGGGTTAGTAAAAAGTGTGGAGACCCGCTGTTATTTTTTTTAACGGCCTATACTAGAATAACTAAACTCGGCACACCATTATGGCATGTTATGAAGTACTTTTTGGGCATAACCGCCACTTGGTGTTCATCCCCAAAATGGGGATTTTGGGGAAAACTCAAAAATTTCAAATACAAAGACCCATCGAGTGACCCCTCATTTTAAAGGTCCTGGTAAAAGAAACCCAACAACGCAAATTAGAGGTCTCTATCTCAGTTCAGTAAAAAATGGCAGCCAATTGAAATTCTTATAGGTTCCCAATCCCAAAATGGGGGGTTTTGGGGGAAACTCAAAAATTTTAAATAATAAGCCCAATCGAGTGACCCCTCATTTTGAAGGTCATAATAAAAGAAAACTAACAACGCAAACTATAGGTCTCTATCTTAGCACAGTAAAATATGGCAGCCAATTGAATATAAAATTGCAAGTTATTTCCGATGATTTCAATCAGCTTCCATTTTTTACTGGATTGAGATAGAAACCTCTAGTTTGCGTTGTTAGTTTTCTTTTACCAGGACCTTCAAAATGAGGGGTCACATGATGGGTCTTTGTGTTTGAAATTTTTGAGTTTACCCCAAAATCCCCCATTTTGGGGATTTACACCAAGTGACGGTTATGCCCAAAAAGTACTTCATAACATGTCATAAAGGTGTGCCGAGTTTAGTTTTTCTAGTATGGGCCATTAAAAAATAACAGGGGGTCTCCACACTTTTTACTAACCCTGTATATCTGCTGTATCTTTCCCTATAGAAGAGACAGGATAATCATTTTGTGCCTAGTTTGATGTTTTAATTGGAAAATTACCCAAAGTAAAATCAATATAAGTTTTTAATAATTTCCACATTAATTTGTTGTCAAGTTACCTTATCAACAATGTTTTCAAGTATTTACTTGACTTAAAACAATATAAATCTATGGTTTCTGAGGATAAGTGCAACATTCAAACAGAACACAGTCATCAAATCAGTTAACTTACAAGCAGTTCTCCTAATTGATGCTTGTGCTGTACTGTGGACAGTGCATTATCCTTCTTCAGGAACAGTGAATGACTTTATCAACTGCTTTTTAAATTATAGTTTTCTTGAATTAAGAAAAAAACACTGTTCTTTAGGCTAGTCAAAATACGGTCCAACATCAAACTTAAGGTAAAAGAAATAGAATATATTTATTCCCCATATTCTTCCCCATATATTCCAAAATATATGGGATTTTGTCAACAAAGGTGTCAAGAATATTATACTAAAAATCAAGAAAAATCCAAGTGGCGGAAAGCCGCCATTTTTGAAAAAACTTCCACCATATTGGATTTATGTAAGCTTTTAGTAAAACATCAATAATTTGACAACTAATCGTCTTAACAATCTGCGGTTTGTCTTAATAGCTTCCTCATCAAGTTTACTTTAATATAATAATAACTTTATACCATTTCAATATTGATTTATTTAAAAGAGACAGCTTTAAATAGAAACAATACCAAATTTCGAAGATTTTTTTTTTTTTAACCTTTAAATGTTTGCAAATACAAACTCAGGTGATAAGAACATTCGTATTTTGTGGCTCTTAAAAGAATCTGCATAACATTTTGAACAATTATCAACCTCATATCAGTTTGTATATTGCTTTGAAGATATATTATGGGATATATTGTTATTAGTCTTCAACTTGGAACGCTAGCCGTGCTGCACCACTACATCTAGTCCGATTGAAATACACTTTGAGGTGGGAAAAATTGCTTTGAGAACATTTAAGACATATTTTGGAATCATAAATTCATACATATAGGGCAATGTATAAAAAAAATCTGACAAAATCCGAGCATGAGAACACCTGAAAAAGTAGGGGTTTTGAAACATACCAAAATTCAATTTTTCATAATAGACAATTACATATATGTGTCCGTGAACACGATAACTTGATTAATTTTTATACAATTTTGATGAAATTTGGTTTGAAGGTGTAAGGCGGGATAAACTTGAATGAGTTCGCGAACCAGCATGATCGGACCATGGGAACGGGGTTTTAAGCGGGGTTTTATGGGGTAAAAATTGGTTTTTCTACTTTTTGACCCTCTAAACGCAAAATTTTCCAATTTATCTTCAGACCTTCTTAAAAAGCTTGAAAAAACAAATAATTTAGTATATCAAAGTGTTTTTGTACCATTATTAGTTACGAAGAAAATTCAAATAATTGTTATTTTAAAATTCACATGTTATTCTTATGGGGAATATTGGAAAATGTTGTAGTCTGCTTGTTTATGGATATATTTTGATCAAACTTGGTAAATTTATTTATTTTATACTAAGTTATTAATATTTCACTAAAAAACACACTTTTTTACCCTCCCTGTAGCAGCAAGCCTATGTACTCATAAAAATTAATGTTAATTACATACATTTAATTGAAAATCAATTCAGGCAACTGGAAATTCGCTTAGTCGGCAGGTTTGCTGCGGCGGGGGTATTTTATTACTAAGATAATCAATTATTGGTATTCTCTGACCCTTAAAACATAAATTTGACACTAAAATTATTATCCTGTCTCTTCTATAGGGAAATATACAGCAAATATACAGTTTTAAGCCATCTTGGCCGCCATTTTGAATATTTCAATTTGCTCAAGGGTGACAAAGTGGCACCCGGCAGATTTTAATTATGTAGGTCTTAAAGAAACAGAAAACACCAAAAAACATCGGGTGGACCTTACTTCCAGGTTTGGGTGAAAAATGCCTTTTGGCAACTAGACTATATGCGAGGTAATGACTGTCGGTGGCTGGGGGCTGCCTGGCGCTGCTCACTGCTGCACGCTGGTATGTGTAACTCATGAGTGTTATATTTGTTTGTCTAACAGCAGAGAGTGTAGGCAGTGGTGGAGGTGCAGAGTCTATGCGAGGTAATGACTGTCGGTGGCTGGGGGCTGCCTGGCGCTGCTCACTGCTGCACGCTGGTATGTGTAACTCATGAGTGTTATATTTGTTTGTCTAACAGCAGAGAGTGTAGGCAGTGGTGGAGGTGCAGAGTCTATGCGAGGTAATGACTGTCGGTGGCTGGGGGCTGCCTGGCGCTGCTCACTGCTGCACGCTGGTATGTGTAACTCATGAGTGTTATATTTGTTTGTCTAACAGCAGAGAGTGTAGGCAGTGGTGGAGGTGCAGAGTCTATGCGAGGTAATGACTGTCGGTGGCTGGGGGCTGCCTGGCGCTGCTCTGTGCTGCACGCTGTGCTGGTGTTTGACAACAGAGTGGAGCTAGGAGTTCTACAGCAGTTGCTGTTGGCGCGGGTGCTACCAGCCTACCCTCGTCTGACACATCGCCTTCACAAGCTGCCCCTCACAGCTGGTGCTGGTCACTGCTGGCTGCCAGACCCACACTTTGACATTGACAAACACGTGTTCTATGGACCATGTCTGCCTACTGATGTACAGGTCAGTGACTCGGCAACTCAAAGGTTTATAACATCCAATTAGCTTTATAAATGGTCTGGCCATAAAATAGAGGAAGTGAGTGCCTTAAAGTAAATGAAGATGAGTAGTAGCATAGATAAAACATACTCCCTTAGTAGATTTCTCATCCTTATGGAACAGCTGAAGACAATTTTATTGTTAGTTCTGTACGGTTTATGTAGAGGTCGTGTTTTGTTTACAATTTGTTTCCCGTTATTACAGCCATTTAAAACCTCGTTTGGCCAAATAATACGATCTAATCATAAACAATAACTCGTCCCCTAGTTATATAACCAAACAGTAAAGCACAAATCAAGAAATTAACCCTAAAATAATAGAAACAAAGTTTCGTCGACACTAGCGCCCATGTGTCACGTACATGAACTAGACACGAAAAACATGCTTAAAAATTTACAATGGGATGAGAAGTCTACTTGTGTTGGTTAGTCTATGGTAGTAGTAGTATCAAAATGCATTGTAGTATTCTGTGGATTTAAAAAAAAATAGGAATGTTGGATTTCAATATCCAAACTGTCATACAATTTAATTTGGATGACTGTTCCTAAAGAGTTTACAATAGTTAATTTGGTTATTTAATAACGCTTAGAATATCCCTAGTCAACAACAAGAAATGTATGACTTTATATCTTCTAGCCATTTATTCTAACTAAAAATAACAATATTTGAGTGTATTACCAAAAACTGTTGCTTTTGAGAGGGAGGTCATGAGTTCTGTTTAATATATCAGACTATTGTACAACTCATGATGTTAATTATGAACAAATATACTTCTTTGCAAATGTTCTTGGCAGTATTTTACCATGTTTACAGACCCTGTTATGTTTAACAACACTCACATTAATATTATGAAGTTAAAGAAAGTTTACATTAATGAGCTGAGTTTACTTCATTTAAGTTTCCACATCTCGTCGTGTGATGCACCGCAGGTGACAGCATCAATTAATCACCGAGGTTGTCGTGTTGGTTCCGCTGCCTTTGTTGTGTCCCATTGTGAGGTGAACCTAAGTATAATAATAAACATCGAGTCTTCTCCTAGATTTGTGATTTTTTTCTGATTCGTATTTTCTCTGTTTAATAACATCAAATAGGTATTTAGTTATTATAATAAATTGACAATAATTCCAGATTCAAATATAAAAATGACATCATGAGTTTTAAATTAAGTTAGTAAAATTCATTTCTTGGGGCAGCTCTCCGATAGATAGCCTAAGTTTTTTATTCTTAAAAAAAGGTGTTAAGAGTTTTAACTGACATGGCAACTTGTATTTCTTGTCCTCCTTTTTTGTACAGTTGAAATTATTAACAACTAGCAGAGTATCCGTCCTTGGTACGGGATTGGCATATAAGTATAAAATGCTTATTGCATTTATACTCAAGCTTTGCGTTTACAATGGGGGAGGGCACAGTTTGATAAAATTTCCTTCTTTTAATTTAATATGTTATAGGTACAATAGTATGCCATAAATAATCTATGGCTATGGTAATACCATCTACCATATTAGAGAAAAATAAATTACTAAAGATTCGCAAAATATCACAAATTAATCATGAAATTAAAAACATAAACATAAGTGTAAACAATACGACTTTGACAGTTCTCATTGCATAACACGGTTTTTTGTTGCTGTTTGGTTCAAATTAGGTGTTTTTATAAATAAAAAAAAAATACTGCTGCACCCTGTTGATAAATCTTATAACTTTTAATACTTTTGCATATCATAGAAAAACTTTTTTAGTTGAAACAGCAGGTTACGTACCTTGGTCCGTCTTCAGTCTTATTTTAGTCTATGGATGACTAGTTTTAGGTACAAGTTAACACATAAAGTTTATTATTTAAAACACAAATTACAAACATATCATATGATAGGCCGGCCACATTTAACATGGGACAAACCGACGCGGGTTACACGGCGGATACAACAGAACTATCCATTATCCAGTTGGTGACTTTGGCCTTGGGGGAGGGGGTACGTACAGACTCTATATTGGTCGTAGGATACGAGAGCTTAAAAAGGGATTCGTATACCATCAAATGGTCGCAGCGTTTAGTGTCAAGGATGAATTGGATAGCAGTAGATAAGGCCTGGTCTTGGATAGTTATAGCCATTGATAGTGCAGGATGGTCTTCCTTCTGGGGGATAAGAATATCAAGAGCCTGCTCAACAGTACAGAATGATAAAGATGAAAATATCAAATCAAGAGTAACACCTCGTTTGTTACATGTGGTATTAAGTTGGTTGAGATTGAAAGTTGAAGCAAGGTCAATCAACACTTGAGACGATTTATTCACAAACGACCCTTCAAGCAAAGTCCATTCTGTTGTGGGTTGGTTGAAATCACCAGTGATGATTAATCCTTCAAAGAAGTGGTTAGAAAGTATCTCTTGAACTGTCAAAGAAAATTCCTCGTAAGCCAGAATATTTGCATTTGGCGTAAATGTAAGCAGAACAAATTAGGTAAGATCTTGCAAAAATCTTCACACAAACAAAAACACATTCAACAGATGAGATAGAAGTACAAAGCCACCAAAAAGAAAATTTGTTTTCAACAGCTATCAGACGTCCTCCACCAGATTGCTTATCATTTGTAGCTATGGACCTATCTTGCTGTAGATGTAGTTGTGAGGTTTAAGTTCAGGAGATGAGATAGCGTCATGCAAATTAGTCTGTCTACACAGACAGATAATATTAAAACCAAGTATTCGCGGTTAACTTCAATTCTTCAAGTTTGGTTCTAAGGCCATTTAGATTTTGAAAATACAAAAGGGTGTTTTGAGTGTTACCGTGGATGTTTAGGCGTTTTTTGGCTGGTCTTAAATAAGGTGGGGACACCATTTCTGTACTTGATAATCAAGACTTTCTCCCCTTTTTTCACTCTTTCATTTATCTCATACCGAAGTGCCTTTAGATGCGCTCGCTAATTTTGTGTATGATCCCTTGTCACATCGACCAAAGGTAGGTCGCAATACTTATTTTTGACGGTTTCACTTGAAAATGGAGCACAACTTGGAGCACAAGTGCCTGTCCTGAGCAGCATCCTTAAAAATAACTTTTGTGGGGTGATCATTGTTTTCCGAAGACTTGCCCACACGAATGCACTTCAACCCATCAAAATAACTGTTATCAAGAAAAAAACTTGACACCTTTTTAACCAATTCAATATCATGGAGGACTCTAGACTCATTTGAGGGATTGGGGGGATTGAGGCTTTCTACTAAATTGTAGAACCAACATAATCTATATATATAAAATCCAATGTATGTTTGTTTGTATGTTTGTTTGTTTGTTTGTCCTTTATGGACTACGAAACCGCTCGACAGATTGTAATGAAACTTTCAGGTATTATTAAGCATTATTCAAGGATGGTGCAGATCCGTTAAAAGGACTCCGCCCCAGTGGCTCTGGAGTTTCCCATGTTAACCTTATGAATACTCATTTTTAAATGGAATTAAAGAATCTTAACAGCTGGTTCAACTAAAGAATTTGATTCTGTGATGTTAAATAGCATTAAAAATTTAATAGATTTACCAACAGGGTGCAGCACTATTATTTTTTTTAATTTATGACAACAGCTAATTTGCAACCTGGAGGTGAGTTAGCGTAGTAAACAAGCTAACCTGAAGGCAAGTGAGCGCAGCAAACGAGCTCCAACCTAAAGATGAGTGAGCGTAGCAAACGAACTTAAACCAAGACGTGATTGAGGCATGCGAACGAGCTCATCTTGAAAATGAACGAGCATTTAACATAAAACCACATTAGGACAGGACGACGTCTGTCGGGCCAGCTAGTGTTAAATAAAAGAACCCTTTTCCCAGACTTTTAATTCGGCAATAATAACTTCAGATCCAAATGAAATGGAAGAGCTGGTGCTCTCCAATGTGGTTATCAGGGTTATCTTATCTTCTAAGGAATTGACTTGGACGAGGTTTTGAGACTTTTGGTGAGATGTATGAGCTGGTTGGAACTGGGTCGGTTCTAGACGAAGTGGTAAAGTTTGTTTCCTGACGTGATTGTAACTACTCTCCCTCCCCCTTGCAGTTTATGTATACATTTTTGCTTCGGAGGTCTACTGCGGTTCATTCCTTAAAAGATTAACCTTGAAAACATTTAACACTGATAGTGATATGTACCTAATAAACCAAACTAAATATAGCCTAACTATTCTTAATGAAAACGTTAAGTCCAAACTAAACAATACAGTTGTTTTTGTTTTCACGTTAAACCAAATTTATGACATTAAAAATAGCCTGTATCAGCTGTTTTTGTTAACTAGAGCTACATCAGGGTCGCGTTAAGGGTCAGTAGAGCCCTGGGCAAACCCAAAAGCAGTGCCCCCATGTTTTCATAAGTGCAGGCAGGCGATGGTTGAGGGGCACCCGGTGAGCACCCACAAACCTTCAGCGCCCCTGGGTATATGCCCAGTCAGCCCGTTTATAAGAGTGGGCCTGAGGTACATAAAGGTATTGACAACATGGACTCTTTCAAGGGCTGTATGACCGAAACCAGATTTTTCCCAGCCTTGTGACCAACTCCAATCGACTTTTCATGGTCAAATACCCCATTTAAAACAAAAAAATCTAATATCCTCGGACGAAAAAAGTTTACCCGTATACACGCTTGTTTTAGATTATAGGATATACAAAGTCATGTCTAAATCTCTCTAAGGTCAAATCTTGCTGCTTCATCTGGGTTTTTGTAGTTGTGCTGTCCTACCTGGTGCTTAAAAAAAACAATTGTTCAGACATTCACTGACTTAAAAATTAACACAAATGTCAACTGAGTTTGAAGTTCTATATTCACTTTATTGGTTTTAACCTGTCCTCAGTCCTCACTTGAATTTCCAGAAGTTGCACCTGCTCACTGTGCAAACTGTTTTAACAAGCAACAATTATTGCTGTTTTTTGACCAGAGATTATGAAATTCATTGTCAAAGGATGTTAACCAGTCTTTTTCACAATCATAATATCAAATAAGATCTCAAAAGTAAAAATTTGTGATATTATAAAATCATTGTTGTTTGCAGCTCCAAGTGTATGTCTCGCAGTTGCTCAACGAAGGGTTGTCGACAGAAAAGCCTCCGTGGGAGCTGCACGTGTTGCAGGCTAGTGGGAGGCAAGGCACTACGACGGTTCTGCGTGTGCACCAGTCAGTGGCTGACGGGCCGGCGCTCATCTCCATGCTATGTCACTGTCTGGCTGACACGAAGGTGGCGCTCCCTCCCCTGGTATGAGTCAATGCAACACTAAATAAACAGGCTGTAATGCTCCTCTAGCATCACGTCATTATAGGTGACATCAATAACGTAAATGTTTGCCGTTTGTGATCAGCTGCTTGTTTTAATCTTTTCTTGGAAAACAAAAATATAACCCGCCGCAGCATACCTGGCAACTAAGCAAATTTCCATTTTTCTGAATTGATATATTTAAACAACATTAGGTTTAACGAGTAACCGAACAAAAATACTTTAATATACTAAATTATTTGTTTTGTTTTTTAAGCTCTTTTAAAAAGGTCTAAAGAGAAATTGGGAAATTTTGTATTTGAGGGTCAAAAGTGAGAAAAACCAATTTTTACCCCATAAAACCCCCCGTAAAGCCCCATTTCCATGGTCCGATCATGCTGGTTCGCCAACTCATTCAAGTTTATCCCGCTTTACACCTTTAAACCAAATTTCATCAAAATCGGACAAAAATTACTCAAGTTATCACGTTCACGGACGTAAATATATATATATATATATATATATATATATATATATATATATACATATATAAAAATTTGAACGAATGGTGTTTTTGGCCTCTGGGGACATCAAAATGAAAAAGTAAATTGGTCCCGGGTCTAGGTCTTACCGTGCCACCTACGGTAATATGCTAAACATAACATTACGTCATTGCCATTGCCTTTGATGACGTCATGCCAGAGGAGCTTCACGGCCTGTCTATTTAGTGTTGCCTCGTATGAGCCTACAACTAGCCAGGTAATTTACTTGTTGGTTGAGATTCTGCTCTCCACTTCACTTAAAAATTGGTTGGCAACCAATATTAACCCTTCCCGGACGGGCGAAATCGTGATAGGCCTATAGGACAGGAAAAAATTATGGGAAAAATAAAAATTAATTTTCCCTATTTGTATTTTGTTATACAAGTATATCTAAAATAAACACAATAGAACACTTCATACTGTCAAAATATTTTTTTTACTCGTTATTAAATATGCGGATGTATCCGCTATCCGTCCGCGGATGAGTAGAAAAGCAGCGGATATATCCGCCACCTGTCTTTGAAGATATGACCATGACAACAACATTAGGCAATAAATAAAGAACAATATGTAAACAATAAATAAAGACAACGTGGTATTGAGCGCAAAACGTCGAGGGGGGAGCGTAGGAGAGGTGGGTGGTGCGAGGGGAGAGGGTGAGGAACGGGAGAGTGCGCAGCCATGGAGAGAGCAGGAAAGTGGCGCCTTGGTACCGCGAAACATCTGGTTACTGTTCAAGCACCTGCTAGTCGGTCTGAAGAGAAGGCGGATATATCTGCTTCCCGTCCAGAACATCAAAAACCATAAGCGGATATATCCGTCACCCGCCCTTTATCGCCAAAGACTTAGGCGGATATATCCGTCACCCGTCCGGGAAGGGTTAAACTCATAAAATAAACAACAATAATAATGCAAATGAAGCAATTGATGGTGTTCCTTGACAGGTAATCAATCAAGATGAATACTTTTTTCTTCTATTAAAGGTATTGCCCGGTTTTGACCTTGAAACCCTAAAAACATAAAACAGTTAGTGATTATGAGCCACCAGAGGACTCATAGATTCTAAATACGGCCCTGGGCTTAGTTATTAGTTTCTTTTAAAATGCTCTAGAAAGAAATTGCAAAATTTTATGTTTGGGAGTCGAAAATGGGAAAACCCATTTTTACATCATTAAACAATATGTAAACAATATGTAGGGTTCCCATAGTTTGTTCATGCTGGTTCGCGAACTTTTTTTAATTGACGCAGATTTAAACATTTGTACCAAACTCAATCAAAATCGGATCATTTTTACTCTCAAATGATCGTACAAACGGACTTACTTCATAAACAAATATATTAATTTGAATGGATGATGGTGTTTTGACTTCTAGGTATACATCAAAACAAAAAATTAATTTGGTCTGGGATTTAGGTCTTACCATATGTAACCTTATATAACCTTATCCTGTGGCTGCTGCTGTCAGCACGAGACTGTAACCTGTTGACTCAGCGTGCTAGCTGGTCAGGGCAGATGTCTGTAAGCTGGTCAGCTGATATTACACTAGCCAAGGTCACCAGGGTCAATAATAAGTAATTTCCTATATGGGAAATTTGCTAAAAACGAGGATGATTTCTTTAATAAAGTTGTAATTACCAACGAGAGTTATTTTTTTACTCCTCTTGTGTACTATGTTTTACTCAACAAACAATCATAAATGAAAGAGGAGATATCACTTCACTTAACCACTTTAAAAAGAGCGGAACGATACTAAGGCGTATCTAATCCCAAAATAAGTTTAGTGAGATGCCTCTATAGCCAACTAAGGTCAGCTGTCTTGCTGTCTCTTGATCTAGGACCATTTATTAAAAGTCCAATGATCAAAGAGAGCTGTTTCCAGTTCCGTTACCATAAAAAACAACAACTGACATTTCTTAGTATCACACAGACGTCCTTCAGATCTGTCCCAACTCTCAATTATGGTGTTGACCATAGGGTATGAAACTATTGTTTTGTGTTCAGAGTAGGTCAGATCAGTCAGTGGGGTTCTACTGCAAGGTGCTGAGGTCCTGCGTGCTGGGTCCGCTGACAGTGTTCCTGTGGCTGCTGCTGTCAGCACGAGACTGTAACCTGTTGACTCAGCGTGCTAGCTGGTCAGGGCAGATGTCTGTAAGCTGGTCAGCTGATATTACACTAGCCAAGGTCACCAGGGTCAAGCAGGTCACCAGGTCAACAGTCAACTGTGTGCTGCTGTCTGCGCTGGCTGGGGCGCTGCGTATATTGCTGCAGAGCTGCGGAGTGCGACAGCCTCCTGATCTTAGGGTTAGTGACAAAGGGCGTACTTAAAAGAAATCAGGGAATAGTAAACCAACACTTTGTTCCAGCAGAATTCACTTTGAAAAACATTTACAATTTAGCATTATTTGCATTCCTCTCAACAAATTTTTATGAAGATTTGTAACCACCTTAAGTGCAAATAAAATAAAAAACTTTGTATACAGACTTGATTATTTTGTTATGAAATTCATATTGAATAACGAATACTTATTCAATAAAAAAAAAAAAAAAAAAACATAAACCTAGCAGGTAGTGACGTCATCAATTTATGGGACGCCGGTCACTTATAAAAGCACTGAAGGTCACAAGTGTTCCATGAGCACTGTTAGTTGAGGTTTTATTCACGTCGATGAATTAGTTTGTCATTCATTCACAAACTCTCATTCACTACATATTCAATAATTCCAAAAACTTTAAAACATGATTATTTAACATGACTTGATTAAAACATGCCAAAATTAAGAATCATGTTGATAGCTTAGTATCAAATAAACTAATTTTCCAAAATTGATTAAAATTTTTCTATAACCCAGCAAGATACAACAGTTTATTTGTTCTCCAAAAGAATATGTGGATTAACGTCCGCACAAATGGGTACTACGACTATATACCCGCAGTGGTATCTTGATAATTAGACCAATTCGTATATACCAAGGCAAAAAATGTGGTTCGGATTCCACTATAAACGGTAGGTCCCTTAGTTGCCATTAGCTGTATGGGCTATTAATTAACAGCTGTGTCTAAGGAATGTCAGCCTTAGTCACTAACAAGACTACAAGATCGCGCCATTCATCCTACACTCATCTCCATTCATACTTGGCTTAAAATACCTACTATGAATGGTCACCATTTCATAAAAAAGTATTTAAAGTAAAGTATTTAAATAACAAAGGAGTTTTTAATAAAAACATTTTTCGGAATTTGCTCAGTAACAGTTAGGCAAACAACAATGCTTCAATATACTAAATTAGTTGATTCGCTACATACATAGTCTGTCTGAAGGGGTTAAGTACAATAAGCCCCTTCGTCTTGCAAACCATGTTTTATATACATAAATATGAATTTCAATGGATGGTGTTTGTGGAATCCGGGGAGATTAAAACAAACAAAAATCGGTCCGCAGTATGGATCTTATCATGAGAACTATACTGACCTATACTGAGACCTATACTCATGAGACCTTCGGTAATAGCTTATTCCCTGTATGGGAAATTTGCTACAACACCCAATTTTCTCCCTACACAAAGGTAAAAATAAGGGTACAGCTTACAGATCCTAGGAATTATTGTCCCATCAATAATAAAAATCTGAGTACTTAAATCGCTACGTAACTTTATTTGATGAGTTGTAATACTCATTATTTAGATATTAAAAATGTAAGAACACTAGAATTCTTTTTACAATTTTCCAGGTAGTACTGCCCGTGGACCTGCGTACAGACTCTCGCCTGGGCAATCAAATGGCTCCGGTGGTAGTGTCATTGCCGGTGGGTGTGGAGGGGGCGGTGCCAAGACTGTGGAGCACTCGTAGAGCCTTACGCACACTCCGACAGTCCAGTGATGCCTTGATTGTCTACCTCGCCACTGCTGCACTCATGACTGTACTTCCGGCTCACTCTGCCCGCAGTATACTTTCTGCCTTCACTGAGCAGAAGGTAACATATTCTTGAAATTTTAGATTTCTGTTTTTGAAAAATAAACAACTTTTTATTGATTGATATTTCCTACAAAAAAGTGAGAATCGATATCATATATCATGTACCGTATTAAAGTGTTTAAATTAAAGTGGTTTAAATACCTGTAATGTCGACAATCCCAAGTGGTTGTGTAACAACTACGTTCGGCTCATAACGTAGCCATCTTCAGGTTTTTCAAGGACATTATCACTTCTTCCGAAGGTCGTCAAAGTTCACAAATAATTTACATACATTTAAAACATTTAAAAACACGTAACACCTAGCCCTACGCCTAGCTTTAACGACATGACCGGCGGGAGTTTACGTCTAGACTACCGGGCACTATGGTCGGTGCGTCTTATCAGTAACAGGTTGTTTGTGGGTATCATTCTTCTCCCTCTCCCTTTCCATTATTTATATTGTTGTGTTGTAAATAAAGTTAGAAGCAAATGAAAGCTTATCGTTTAGCACGTTTTGTTTATCTGATTTGACTGCCTTATAAAATTCGAAAAAATTAAAATGTTTTTACAGTGCTTTATATGTGTGTTTTTATTGCCACACTTTTTATCATCCTATTTAAAAGTTTTTATGTTTTTAGTGAATTTCCCTATTGGGAAGTAGCTATTACCGTAGGTCTCATGGTAAGACCTAAGCCCGAGACCGATTTACTTTTTCATTTTGATGTCCCCAGAGGTCAAAAACACCATTCGTTCAAATTTGTATATATCGATATATATATATATATATATATATATCCTTATATATAATACGTGAAGGCGATTTCTTGAAAACACTACTCCTCCGTTAATAATGGACGGATTTTTACAAACGACGTGTCAAAATAAAATATTTTTTGTGTAGACACCCCTTTTCACCAATTCATGTAGTAAAAATCCTCGGGTTTTGCCCCACAGGCCATCAAAGTTGGAGTTTCTCCCATAAGATTAACATGGGGGAATCTAAATATTTGATTGGAAACCTTGTCCCCACTAATTTGAGAGAACGGTTGGGCGTAGAAACTTGGTAGAGGTGTCCAAAGAAAGGTCTTGGTCTGTAGATGAGTTATGAAAAGAAAAACTAAGCAAAATCCCTTAGGACTCTGTCCCAGAAGCCTTTAAAGATCCCTCCACAGAGTTGTTTACATTTTGGCCATGAGAATAATACTTTTTAATGAAACAGCTGTTCATTTTTAAATTGTATTTCAAACAACACATATTTATTGGGAGTTGAATTCTACCAAATAAGTATTTGCAATGTTATTTTATGATTTTAAAATTGATTTTCTTCTTTATCATGCCATGTTTTGCAATATAACGTTCCATTACGAAATCAGTGGAAAATCCTTTTACCACAGCAATTCTTAAATTATATCTTATTGAACTATCTTATATCTATTGTACGGGTTGGTATGTGCCTTTTTCGCCACTTTTGCCTACATTTTATCATATTATTCTACAAAATATCAAATATTTATGTAGAAATATCTGCTCTTATTGTGTCTAATAAAATCCAAACTTAGAAACATTGCCTAAAATGGTACCTATCTTGACAAATAATTTGCACCTGCCTATATTACGGACTTTGGCGCACTGAATTAGTAACATTATTGAAAATAACACAACATTTTGGCTGTAAAATATGGTAAAAGAGAAAATACTATTTAAGCAGCTACTGTCATGACAGAAAGGTCATATTCCTTTTAAACTAGATCACATAATCCTTTGACTGGGACGGGTGGCGTCGTCCTGTAATCCAGCCACTAGGAGGTCACGAATTGTGGATATTTATAGGAATGCACTGTGGATGCGATACTCCCTGGTGTGGATTAACGTCCGCACGAGTGAGTACTACGACTACCCGCAGTGCTATCCTGATAATTATACCAATTCATAAATACAAATGCAAAAAAATTTGGTTCCAATTCAACTATAAACTGTAGATCCCTTGGTTGCCATTCGCTGTATGGGCTATTAATTAACAGCTGTATCTAAGGAATGTCGGCCTTAGTAACTAACAAGACTTCAAGATCGCGCCACTCTTCCTACACTCAACTCCATTCATACTTGGCTTACCTACTATGAATGGTCGCCATAAAAAAAACGTATTAAAGGATTAAAGTATTTATCATATACGTTGATTAACAATATGTAAACGTCAATATATACGTAACAGCCATTTTACAGTATTTTTGCTTTTTGGAAATGTTCAATTGCTATGTCATTTGCATTATTTATTGCCAATGAAGCCGCCAAGATCATATGAACTAGGAGGCCCCTAACAGTTCAAGAATAAAAGCCAACTTTACTTCATGTATTCCACTACACCTAACATTCCGTAGAGAGATTATATTGACAACTTTATGTTATTGATAAGGCCGAGGCCGAGACAACTAACTGACATCCCCCATGTCAAGGAATTCCAGCTTTATCAGTAACCCCACAGTCAATTTCTCAAAACTATGCTAGAGGGTTCATTCATTGGCACAGAAGTACGATATGAACTGACGCGACGTGACGAAGGAAAAACAAACTTACACTGTAACGGATATACCTCCCTTTGAAGTTAGAACGTGTCTTCTCAACAAACATATATTTTTTCTCAAACACTGATGAAATCACGGAAGTGTTTAGCTACAAAAGATCCACCAATACGATTTAAATACTATTTAAAGGTTCTACCAAAGGAAGAGATACCATATAACATATTAATAACAACTCCGATGACTTACAGGATAGGAAATATTTTAATCATTGAATGAACAACCAAATTTGGCAACTAACACAATATTGTTATTGTTTTTACACTTACTCTTTGAACAATGTTAAATGCTCAAAATATGTATATTTCACCCAATTCATCGCAGTTAGATGAATTAACGTAAGCCTTGAAAGTAACCGTCGATTTCGACGGGTTTCCCCTAGTATATATATACTAGCTGCACCCGCGGGCTTTGCCCCGTTTTACCTCATAAGTGAGCTTGTTCGCATGGCTCAATCACGTCCTGGTTGAAGTTTGTTCGCTACGCTCACTCTCCTTAAGGTTGGAGCTTGTTCGCAGCGCTCACTTGCCTTCAGGTTAGCTCGTTCGCTACGCTAAATCGCCTCCAGGTTGAAGTTCGCTCGCTACGCTCACTGACCTTTTGGTTGCAAATTAGCTGTTGTCATAAATATAAAAAAAATAATAGTGCTGCACCCTGTTGGTAATCCTTGATATTTTTAAGGAGACATTTTAGTTTAAACCCAATCAGGCAAATGGAAATTCACTAAGTCTGCAGGTTTGCTGCAGTGGGGGTATTATGTTTTTTAGTGATACAAAAATGTTCAAATAGCCTATACAGGGTGTTTCAGTAAAGCGTAGCGGGCTATGCAGATTCAGATTCTACATGCAAAAATAAGTCGAAAATGAAGAATAACTTTTTTTCGATTTCGGCTTAGTTTGGTCGTAATCCGCCATTTTGTATTTTTTTGAAAATAATTAATTACTCAAAAACCCTTAGAGATATTTTTATGAAACTTGGTATAAACTTTAAGTCTACAGGTATAAACATTCTCCAAAAATATCTTCGATCAGGCTCATCTAGTTTCAAAATGGCAACCATTTAAAACTTTTTTTTGTAATGGCCGCTTTTCATTGAAGTTTACTTAAAAAAATTTAAATGGCCGCCATTTTGAAATTTGATGAGCCTGATCAAAGATATTTTCAGAGAATGTTTGTACCTGTAGACTTAAAGTTTATACCAAGTTTCATAAACATATCTCCAAGGGTTTTTGAGTAATTAACTATTAAAAAAAAAATACAAAATGGCGGATTACGGCCAAACTAAGCCGAAATCGAAAAAAAGTTATTCTTCATTTTCGACTTATTTTTGCATGTAGAATCTGAATCTGCATAGCCCGCTACGCTTTACTGAAACACCCTGTATATTGTTTTTCTAATTATGGATAACGCAATTCATATATTAGGCCTACATGTATTATTTGGTTAAAGAATTTTTTAATTGATTGATTGGTTTGCAGGCAAGTCTGCAGTTTAGTTCGCTGATCGGTCCATCCGCTGCTGTGCTGGTCGGAGGCTGTCCGCTACGCAGCGTCTACTCTCTGCTGCCTGCACAGACTGGGCTCAGTGTTGCAGTGTCAGTGCTCACCTACGCAGACCAGGTGTTTGTAGCCGTTGCTACGGACAGCAGTCTCCAACCAGCTGGTGACATGATCCTCAACCATCTACAGGCTCAGGTAAACAACAAATCACTGGACCAATCAATATGGCTCACATTACATTGCAGTTTGCCCATAACAGTCTTGGAGAAATAGCCCAGGAATTTACATAAAAATCTCACAAAACAAACTTTATTTTAATATTACCTTACCTTACCTCCTTGGCCACTCAAACCTAAGAAGGTTTTTGGCCTCGCCAACAAGTTGCCTCCACTTCTGCCGATCTGCCGCCATGTCAAGAGATGCCCCCACTCTGCGTAGGTCCTTCTGGACTTGGTCTCTCCATCTCAACTTCGGTCTTCCTAGCGGGCGAGTGCCTCGTGGTTGTCCATTGGCGATCTTCTTAAGCATACTTTCTTCTTCCCTTCTTTCTACATGGCCTGCCCATCTCAGTCGTCTACTCTTCACTATGGCTACAATGTCCGGTTCTTTGTACAGTTCTCGGAGCTCTCGGTTTTTTCTTATTCGCCACATACCTTCTTCATTTATAGGTCCGAAAATCTTCCTCAAAATTTTGTTCTCAAAAATTATAAGTTTGTTTTCATGATTTTTAGTTAATGTCCAGGTTTCCGAACCATATAAAAGCACTGGTTGAATTAAAGTTTTATAGATTCTTAATTTTGTGTTTTTGGATAGTATTTTTGAACTAAATATTTTTGATACGCCCCAGAAACATTTGGTTGCTGCAATCAGTCTCTTTTCTATTTCTGTTCCTCTTTCATTATTCCAGTTAACTGAGACTCCGAGGTATTTAAATTCGTTTACTCTTTCAAAATTATGGTTATTGACCCTAAAAGGTTCAGCTCCTTCAGTTTGGGTTCTTCCGACTTTCAGATATTTTGACTTCTCTTCACTTATTTTAAGTCCAATCTTATTTGCTTCCCTTATAATAATCTCAGTAAGCTTACCTAGGTCCTCTTTTGATTCTGCAACTAATGCAACATCATCCGCAAAAGCAAGTGTGTTTACTATAGATCCGAAGTTTATTCCAGCTTCGATATGTTTAGTGCTTTTTAAGGTTTCTTCTATTGCAATATTGAAAAGAATTGGTGACAGTCCATCCCCTTGTCTAACCCCTGAATGGGTTTGGAAGGTTTCTGAGTATTCATTTTCTATCTTAACTTTACTTTTGGAACCTTCAACACACATCTTTGTCAAATTTATCAGTTTGTCGGGAATTCCAATTTTCTGCATTGTTTCCCAGAGTTTGGGTCTTTTTATGGTATCATAAGCTTTTACAAAGTCAATGAACAGGATATAACACTCTTTATTATATTCCCAATACTTTGATATTATCTCTCTAATCACAAAAATTTGATCCGTTGTTGAGCGTCCGCTGATGAAACCAGCTTGATGGTCTTCAATGAATTCTTCTGCATACGGTTTTATTCTGTTCAATAAAATCTTAGACAATATTTTGTAAGTTGAGTTAAGTAGGGAGTTAATATAAAATAAAAAAATAAATAAATTAAAAACAAAAACATAACAAATAATAATGAAGCAACTAGTAGAGGAAGGGATAAGTACCTAAACTGGAAACTTCAATTATTGAAATAAAAATGCCAATTAGGGCACTTTTTTTAGAACTACTATAGTGACCGCCAAGTAAGTAGACAATAGACAATAGACAATAGACAATAGACAATAGACAATTTTCTTTATTTGTGATTTCTTTAAGAAATACAATGGCGTCAGAAAGATTCAGAATGTTTAACATTTAGATTGTTTTAACAGTTTACATTTTCTTTTGTGTTGAAAGTTCATAATTGGTCAAAAAATTCCTTAAGGGAGTACACCGGTCGGTCCACAAGCCAGTCCCAGAGTTGCTGTTTGAATTGGTTTCCTGTTGCATTCTTGAGGTTGTTTGGAAGAGAGTTGATGATTTTTCGGCCAATATAAGAGGGTTTTCTGCTGTATTGTGTAGTGTGGTGGATCGGAAGGTTGTAGTCGGCTGCTTTTCTGGTGTGGTAGGAGTGAAAATTCTCATTTCTGGGAAGGTTAAGTTTTTTTGTGTACAGGACAACTCCATGGATGTAGAGTGCTGTCACTGTTAGGAGCTTAAGGGATTTAAATGCTTCCCTGCAGCTGTCTAAGCGCTCAAGGCCGGAGAGTGCCCTGACAGCTTTTTTCTGGAGTACCAACACTTTGTTGAGGTTTGCTTCTGATGTTCCTCCCCAAGATATTAAGCAATACCTTATATGCGATTCTATTACAGCATAGTATGCTGTCTTAGCTGTTTCCAGACCTCCTATCCATTTCATCCTCTTTATTACATGGACACCAGATGCAAGTTTTTTGGTCAGGTTGTGTATGTGGTCGTTCCAGGAGAGGTCTTCATCAATTGTTAGGCCCAGCAGTTTTGAGTTTTTTTCAACGGTTATTTCAGGAATTTCTTGGATTTGTTCATGTTTTCGGCTGAAGTTTAACTGGGTTGTTTTTTATGGATTAATGGCCAGGTCATTTTGAAGGCAGTACTGCAGTGCTTTGTCTGTTGAGGATAAGATGTTGGAGTGTAATTCTTGTGGTAAGTCATGCATAAATAGAAGAGTTGTGTCATCAGCGTACATTATTGTTTCACAATTGTCATTCCTAATAAAATCTGGAAAATCATTGGTGAAAAGGATGAACAAAAATGGGCCCATGACTGAGCCCTGGGGCACTCCCCTGTTAATCGAAAGTTGTGTGGACCTATGTACAGATTTTCTCCCATTTGTGTTTTGCTGGATTTCGACAATTTGTGTACGTCTTTTCAAATAGCTTGCCACCCAGTCTTTGGCCATTCCCTCTATTCCTAGGGCTGTGAGTTTGCTTAGGATGAGATTATGGCCCAGGCAGTCAAAAGCTTTGCTGTAGTCAAGTAAGACTGTTGATACATATCTGCGTGCTTCTAGATGGTCAATGATTTGTTCGATTAAACTAGTTAGAGCTGTGGTGGTGGACCTCCCTTTGAGAAAACCATGTTGGTTTTTAGTGATTAGATCATTGCTTTCCAAGTGACTCAGCATTCTTGACAGAGCGACCTTTTCTATTACTTTTGAAAAGGTTGATATTAATGAGATAGGGCGGTAGTTTTCTTGTTTAGTGCGTGAGCCTTTTTTGTGCTTTGGGTATATTTTTGCTATTTTTAGGGCGGAGGGAAATTGTCCAAGGCTAAAAGATTTGTTTATTATGCTGACAAGTGGGGCTGCCAGTTGTTCGGCACAGTGTTTTACAACTTTTGATGGCACTTCATCTACTCCACATGACAGCTTTGATTTTAGTGAGGCTATTGTTGCTAAGACTTCTTTAATGGTTGTAGGAGTTAAAATTAGTGGCTGGACATTGTTTTGTGGTAGAAATAGTGGATGTGTAATTTTTTTGTTTTTGAATTGGCTTCTGTTTTTCTCTAAAGTGGAGTCTGCTATTTCTGCAAAATATTGGTTTAGGTGTTCAGCAATGTCAGTAGGGTTATCTAATATTTTTCCCTCTATTTCCAGCTGCAGATTTGGTTCTTCCTTCTGTTTACATTGTTTTTCTTTGTTGATGATCTCCCAGACAGCTTTGGATTTATTATCAGCACTTGTGATGTATTCTGCAGTGGCTTGTCGCTTGAGGGACCTGAGCTTTAAATCATATGTTTTCTTTTTTTCCGACATTGTTGTTTTATCATTTACATTTCCGGTAAGCTCGTATCGGTGTAAGGCATCTAGAAAATCTTCTTTTAGTATTTTGACTTCTTCATCATACTGAACCTTAATTTTCTGTCCTTTCTGCTTAGCTCTTATTTTTTTGATAGGGCAGGCATGGTCCAGTATGAGCCTTACAGTCCTTTGGAATGCAGAGTATGCCTCTTCAGCATCAGGGGTATTGTGCACCTTTATCCAGTTTTCTTTGGAGAGTTCGTCTTTCATGCTATCCAGGTTTTTTCTTGAAAAAATTCTTTTTTGTGACATATCCGTTTTAGCAGTAACTTCACTCTGTATTTTGAGGGTACATGTTTGGCCTGTGTGATCTGCTATTCCAGCGTTAATTATAGCGAAATCTATAGCATTATCATGTGTGTTCGTACAGATACAGTCTATAGAGGTTCTTGAATGGTTAGTGATTCTTGTCGCTGGGAGTGGTAGTCTTCTAACTCCAAAAGTTGACAGTTCCTCTTCAAGATAGTTACTACTGGCATTTTCAGTTAGCCTGTCTATATTGATATCGCCCATTAATACAATGGTCTTGGTGTCAGCTTGAAGTGACTCCAGAACTTCTGATAGGATGTCAATGGATAACCTAGCTTGTCCCCCTGGTAGTCTATACATACCAAGTAAGTAGCAGTTTTTGTTCTTTATCCTTATTTTCACTAATGCTGCTTCAAAAACTAACTCTAAACTTTGGTTAGAGATTTCTATTTCTTCTGCCTTGATAGCAGCAGTTTCCTGGATATAGATTGCAACTCCTCCCATTCTATGCTCTTCCCTGCAGGAATATGTGACTAGGTTGTACCCACTAATCTTAGTGAGTAATAACATATCTGAGCTGAGTCAATGTTCAGTAATCACCAAGATAGTGGGTTTGAGTTCACTCATTAGATGATTTATTCTTTCAATCTTTTTCCTAAGACCTTGAACATTTTGGTGAAAAATTGTGATGGAGGTTGTTTTATTTTGTGTAATAACTAAATGTCCCTGATTATCTCTTCTTTGTGCTTTGGGGTTTGTGTTTTGGTTGTTGTCATTCAGGGGGGAAGTTGATTCTATGTTTTGTCGTCTGTTTGTTTCTTCACACCTAAAAAATGGTTTAGGGTCTGATTTGAGTCTTTCAGTATTGATTGGTTATGTTGTTTACATTGTGGTAGATTATGGTGTGAGATCCCATTTATGTACTCCATGTGTTGGTTTAAAAAGTCTTCAAGTGATTCATTTGGTTGTAGTTTTTTAGCGTTACAGGGAGGTCCTTTTTGTACTTTAAATGTCTGTCTGTTAGCAGGAAGTTTATCAATGATGGGAGATTCTTGTTGTGCACATTGAGTGGACTTGGGGCAAGGAGTA